CCGTATCATCGGCTCCCATGAGGTACGCGGGGAGCTGCCCCAGCATATGAGAGGGCTCCCCCGGCCATGCTGGGGATGTGGGCAAGTCCTTGTTCTCTGGGCCTCGGTTGTTCCATCTGTAAAATAGTAATATACAATCTCTGTCACTGGATCTGGGACAAAGAGACCCAAGTGTGTGCAAAAGTGCCCTCCTCAGTGCAGAAAGCAGAGGGAAACTGACATTTACTTAACTAGACGTGGTCTTAGGCATTTTACATGATCACCTCATCTAATTGTCACAGCAGTCCTTCAAAGTGAGTGCCTGCAGGCTCTGCATATGTGTTAGTTTCCTCTCCCCAGGCGGGTACCATCTGCCCATCTCTATACACAGGTTTAGCTTTTTCCCCTCCTCTCTGTTCTCCCTCAGCCAACTTGCAGGTTCTGACACTGGGGACATGATATAGCTGTTCTAATCTTCTGTGATGAGATAGATAGAAACCCCAAAGGCCACGCGGTGCAAAAAAAGTCACTGCCCAGCTGGCTGGCCAATTCAGTTTAAGAGCACAATAGGCAAACAGGTTATCTGGCTCACCCTTATTAATGCCAGACCTTACCATCCGACTACACTGTTTATTTTCCAGGTTCCTGAGCTCTTTATGGTCCACAGACATGGCCTCAACATGTACCTACTATCTATTTGTCCCAGATCTGTGATTCTGAAATTCTCTGGTTAAAGTTGGGCTGGCTGTGTCACAGACAGAGTGATGACAGCCAGAGTGGCCTCAAAGGGTCAGCCAGCTGACAGGCTGTCCTCAGGGCCCTGTTCCCCCTGGCCAGTTGTCCCTCTGGAGAGGACTCTGTGTCCTTGGGAAGACAGCTGCTGAGTGAGTCAGGCCAAGCAAGCAGCTGAGAAAGGTGGCAGTGGTCACACATGGGCTTGAGAGTCAGAGAGGCTATCGAGGGGCCAGTACCCCTTTAGGCTGCTGTGGGAATTCTCAGGGACACAGGCCAGATGTCCACAGACCAGCAAAGGCCATCACCTCTGGGAAGCCAGACCCAAGAATGACTCCAGAGACACCAACATGAAAGAAATAACTACCCTCATTCAATAAACAGGAAGGAAATCAATAAACAAAGGAGTAACTTCTTCTGGTTACCTCTTAGGTTTTTTGAGACCACACCCCTTGGAAGCATCCTGAACAGATTTTCCTCTGATTGTAATACTATCGACCAGGTACACAGAGCTATGATTATAATACCATCGATCAGGTATACAGAACTGTGACCCACTTCCCCATTCAGAGAGAGGCCAAGCCCCTGTCTGTTGCTGGCTTCCCCAGATCCAGCGACCAGAGCCCTGGGTGGGGGGACCCAGTGGACCCCAATATGATTATAATGCTGCCTCAGGGCCTGCCCCACTCCCGCTGAAACCATCAGAATAAGGCTGAGGGAAACCAAATTCCTTTGGCTTCCATCCAGGAACCTCTGGCTTACTCCATCCAGTAAGGTTCCAGCATATTCTGAACCAAGGTGACTGATTTTGTGGAGAATATTGATTCTGATTCAGCCTGTATTCTTTATTTACCATTGTAGTAGATGGTAAGAAAACAAAGTCCTGACTCCTGCCCTCAGGGAGCCTACCGTGTAGCTGGAGAGATAAGACATATGCCTGTAATAATGTGAGAGAGCAAAAACTTGGCCGCAGGTACACACTGAACATCATCAAATACCAAAAGTTATCTCCCTCTCTCCCCCTCTCCTCCCTCAGCACATCCCATCCACGCTGGAGTGCCTGAGCCGATCCACCCTGCTCTGTGTCTCAGCCCTGGCCGTCATCTCCTATGTCACACCTGTGTTCCTCGTGGCCCTCTTGCCCCTGGCCATCGTGTGCTACTTCATCCAGAAGTACTTCCGGGTAGCATCCAGGTGATGGCAGCATTTTCCAGCCTCCAGGGTTGAGGGTGGGGTGGGGGGTGGGAGGTACTTTGCAATGGGTAGTTTGGTACTCTTGTTAGAGTCATCATCATAAAAGCAGTAGAGTCATGTTCCCCCCACCCCCAAAGGAAAATAGAAATGAAGGAAATGAAATATTTGTATCCACTACCGTAATATAACCATCTGTCTGCACACACCTCTGAACTATTTCCTTAGGAGCTATGGTCAGGAGTGGCACTGCATGTGTTTATGCTCTTCATTCATTTTGTCAAAATGCTTCTCAGAAGGGTCATATGAGTCCAGTGACCAGGCTGATTGCTGACGCGTGAAGTCAGAGCACACCCGATGTGAGGCGTGTTATGACAACCACATGTCCCCGCCCATGCGGGTCCAGAGAAAGGCTAGAAGCCTCGACACAAGGGAGCCTCTCTCCACCATTCTCATGATCACATTCACCTTCATGAACCTTGGAGCCACGCATGCCTCTTTCATACTCAAAAATTTTAATAACATTCTCTAGGAGTTTTTTTCTGGGAGTGATGCTGTTAAACTCATAGATTCAAAGAATTATAGGGACAATTTTAAAGAACTTTTAGGCCAGCATTTCTCAAACTGCCAATTACAACCTTGGGTCATGAAATCAATATCATAGATCACAACCAGGATTTAAAAACAGAAAAGAAAAGAAAAGAAAGAAATAGAACAAACTGTATTCACATAGTAACAGTAAGCTTTGCTTCATGAAACCTTTGGGTTCTGTAGGTATGTGTGTGTGTGTGTATGCTGATTTGTTACATAAAATGTATTGCTTCCTGCAAGTTGTGGTCAGAAAGGTTAAGTACCTTTCCCAAGTGCACAAAGTTGTTCAGAAACTGGAGTCAAAATGCTGATTAGCAATAAAGATAAAATTTAGATACATCTTGGTCACAATTACTTTGCCCATGAGGATCAAGATTTGTATAAATGGCTTTTTGCCTGGATAATCTAGAATCCCCCGGTACCCGCAAGGAACATAGTACACTGACATTCGGGAAATCACAGTGGCTTTTTAAACACTGTACAAGCTGTTCTACACCAGAATCCCCCGGTACCCACAAGGAACATAGTGGCTTTTTAAACACTGTACAAGCTGTTCTACAAAGTTCATTTCTGCTTCCAGAGAAAATGCCCTGTTCTCCTGGAACCCACTCTTCCTGGAGACAGTTTGTCCAGGAAAGCTGCTTCGAGCATCCCAACCTGGCCTCTCCGGCACTAATGCACTTGTCAAGGTGCAGCTGTGGGGAGCAGGAGCAATTCTATTGCCATGGAAACCACTGGCCTTTCATGGGCCTCTTTAGATTATGGCCTGAGATGTGCTGAAACCTATTGTGGTTACCGGGGAGGGAACCGATAGCTTTGAGTTGGCCTTCCTATTCCTTTGACTAGATGTTACAAGGTTAAGATTGTTCATCTGTGAAAGGGAAGTAACACTGCCTGCCCAGCCTTACCGCAGAGCAAGGCTATGCAGCAGCAGAAGCACAGGGACAGATACAGACATGAGGTGCCCAGGTTAGCAGTAACTGTTGCGGCATCCTGGTTAAGCACTTTACCTAAATGAGCTATCTGATCCTCACAAGTGCTGATAGAGTGGTACCATGGTCTTCCCTCTTTCCAGATGAGAGACTGAGATCTAGAGAGGTGAAGCCATTTGTCCACACGGTAGTAGGGGTGAGCTAGAATTCAGACAGAGGCTGAGCCCTGAGCCTGCCCTCCTAACCATTCCTCTCTGCTCCCTTGGCACAGGGACCTGCAGCAGCTGGATGACACCACCCAGCTCCCACTGCTCTCGCACTTTGCTGAAACTGTGGAAGGCCTCACCACCATCCGGGCCTTCAGGTTCCAGATTCACCCCGGGGTGGGGGTGGGAGGGGTGTGTGGGGGGAAACCAGGGTCACAGATCATGAGATTCAATTCTCAGGGCTCTACTCACAAAGGCCCAGGACATTTATCTCCCAAACCCCTCCTCAGGCCTCAAGGGCCAAATGATGCCCACTGGGTGGGGGGTCAGGCCAGGTGCACGCTACTGTATGATCCATCAGAGAGGAAAATCTCAGCCCTGCAGCCAAGCCCAGGACCTCTGTCAACTAAGGCAGAACATCAAAAGAAACAAGGCTGGGACAGGTCCTCACATATCAATGCTAGAAAGATTTACCTCATGTGGGCCAGCCCTGAGGCCACCTTTTATTGAGACTCTCCTGGGAGAAACACTATGCTGAGTACTTTCCATGCCAATTTTGTTCATTCTGCACTGCAATCAAGGTGGTGATCATGTTTATTCCCATTTCTCAGATAAGGAAATTGAGGCTCAGAGAGGTTATATGACCGCTCTGTGTAAGGTCCCATAAAGCCCAGACTTGAAACTGCTCATTCATTGAACAAATATTTACAAAGTACTCACCAAGTACTAAGTAAGCCCCATGCCAGGTACTAAAAAAGACAGAGATGAGTCAAATGAGCCCCTTCCCTGGAGGTATTTACAGTCCAGGCTTTGAGCAGGCCAAGACAAACCCATGTTTCTGAAAGAAAGGGGGACATAGCAAGCATATAAGGGAAGCAGTCATGGAAGTCTGCATGGAGGTGGTGCCATTGGAGCTAAGACTCAAAGTATGGATAAGCGTTCACTAGGCTGGAATGCCCCAAAACTTCAGTGCCCCTGCCATCTTCCTTCCCACCCCCTGAGTCATGATGTTTGGCTAGATGGGAGCACCCAAGACTGCTGGGGAGCGAAGAGGGCTGTTGTTCCCCACCCCAGTTTCCATTTGAGGTATTAGGGCATCTCTTCTCTAGCCATACAGGCCAGACCCCTGACCCAGATAGTTGGACTCTGGTATGTAAGCTTTAGCCAGAGAGTGATCCTAGGTTATTTTTAGGATGGCATCACTGTGCAAGGTATGACGGTAACCATGCTATACCAAGCCCTGTGTCCAGGAGTAACCCTAGGGCTCCAGGACCAACAGAGGGTCCACGGAGGTTTGCATCTCCTCCCCTGAACCCCTAAAGTCAGCTGCAGCCCTGGGAGAGGTGCCCAGGCTCCTGATGCATCACTGCAGCCCCTGTTCACACCTTAGGGCTTCTGGGGCCAGTGGGAAGTCCTCTTAGGGGTCTTGTCTGAGTAAAGCAAAGCCAAGCAAAGCAGAACTGTGCCCCAGCCTTGACTCCCTGGATATCCCCTGCTCCTGTGCAAGCCTGTGTTGTCTTCCACACAGACTCTCCTTTGAGCCTGGCATAAGACCCTAGGTTCTCCTCCCACCCCACTTCTCAAGCCTGAACTTCCCCAGTTCCTTCAACTTCCAGGACCCTCCACACCCTCTACTCTAAGTTTTGGAGATGTCCCTCTTATAATTGGTGTCCTGGAGGGCTTCAGGCTGAGTCTGGGGCAGAAAGATTGTGATTTTTCCTAGAGTGGGCCAGACCCTCCCAGTAGGATCTGAATGGATCCCAGCATCCAGCCAGCCAGAGGAACTGCTGCCTAGCAAGGCCTCCCATACACTGCACTGACACAGTGGACGGTTTTTTAATGAACGAGGAACTTTTAAATCATCCCTTGGATGTGTTTAACTCATTGGCTTCTGCCCAGTAGATCGCCCTGTCAAGAACTAAGTAGCACTTATTGATTGTGCACTTGCCAAGTGCCAGGCCCTGTGCTAAGTGTTGCGTATGTATTGCATTTGATCCTCACAAGAGTCCCATGACATAGTTACTGTAAACTCATACTAAATGAAGAGAAGAGACCCACAGAGGCTGAGAAACCAACTCGAGACCACATAGACAGTGGAAGCTGGTGCTGAGCTTGAAACCCAAGCCAATCTGACTTGGTTTTTCTAGGAGGCCCTGCTTTTTCCCAAAAGAGGTTCAAGAGTATCCAGCACTTGGCTCAGTGTTGGGCTCAGAGGTTGTTTCAATCCATGCAGGAACTATTACTGTCCCCACATTACTAATGAGGAAACAATCTCTCTTGACACACAGCCAGTAAGTAGTGGATAGGACTCCAACCTGGGTCTGCGTGGCCTCAAAGCTGCAGCTCTTTCCAGAGTCCTCACGCCATCATGCACCTGTCACAGAAGCTCACACACACCCTCGTACACACCCACTCCTCAGACCAGTCACACACCCCTCAGACTCTCCTATCACACACACACACGCTCACACATACACATCTTCAACTTGCACTTAATCAAACCCTTCAGATGTATGGTTTCCCACTCGCCTCAGACATATCACCCACCCACACGCATCCACCCTGTGGCTATGCAATCACACGCTCCCTCACACCTCAGAGACTCACTTCAGTCTCCTCAAACGTATAGTTCAGTCGCAGGTCCTCCACTCAGAAATAATCAAAGCAGAACAAACACCTTCCTGGAGTGAAAAGCAAATGCCCAAGAAGGCTCGTCTTGAGTCCCTCTGAGTCCCCTCAGTTGTGTCCCTGAGGCCAGAGCTGAGATGACTTTCATTCGTTACATCATTCATCATCAAACAAGTGCTCCTGCCCCTCCCTTGAGCCTGGCCCGAGCCAGCCAGAACCAGTGATTCCAGGATCCCAGGCTGGTCAGAGAAAGGAGGCAGATCCATACTTAGAAACTTGGGAGAGAATGTGATGAGGGCACAAGGGTGGGAAAGAAGGCTCCAGAGTCCCTTGTGTAGAGAAGTCCCTTCTACCTTAGAGGCTCAGGGAAGGTTCCCACGGGCTACGTGGACCAAGATTATTCCCTGCAACCCTTTTCATCCTCCCTCCAGGTACGAGACCCGGTTCCAGCAGAAGCTCCTTGAATACACGGACTGCAACAACATCGCCTCCCTCTTCCTCACAGCTGCCAATAGGTGGCTAGAAGTCCGCATGGCAAGTGCCACTCACCCCACCCCGGGCCCTGGGATAGGGGCTTCTGATAGGAAGGGCCAAACATGGACCAGAGGGTGGGAAGAGAGAATGGAGCACCAGCTCAAGTGCGCACACAGGATGGGCACAGAGCCCTCCTGCTTCTCCCAGACCTGGTGATCAGTCCTCCCAGTGTCTGACCTGAGCCCCCTCTTCTCCATATCACTACCCAGAGGCTGTGTATCTCAGACGTGTGCCAATAGATGGAATAGTTGTATGTTTAGCTGTGAGCAGTGTGTGTCTGAAGTGGGTCATATGACACAGACGTTGTGTACATGTGTGGGCCAGCTGATAAGGCAAGTATGCAGGTCGTTGGGGAGTGGGGGGTGGTGCATAAGCTGTGTGCAGTCATTGTCTCCTGGGACTCAAGCCTTCACAGGCCTCCTGTGTATCTGATGATATGCACATGAGTTTTGGGGCTGGGGTTGAGTCATGGCTGAGCTACTCTCTCTGCCCTGAAGAGGGGGTTGGGGGCCCACTGTGACTTCAAGCCCTAAGAGCCCAGGCCAGCCCCCATCCTTCCGCAGGAGTACATTGGTGCATGTGTGGTCCTCATCGCAGCTGTGACTTCCATCTCCAACTCCCTGCACAGGGAGCTCTCCGCTGGCTTGGTGGGCCTGGGCCTCACCTATGCCTTAATGGTGAGTGGCAGCAGGCTGGGGCAGGGGAAGCATCAGACACCAGCAGCCATGGAATCCTGGGGCCCCTTTCCCTAATGAGACACCCCCCAGGCCTTACCCCCAGCTACTTTGAGTCTGATGCTAGAGGGACCATGTGGGAGGGCTGACAGCAGAGTCCCGCCTCTTCGCCCAGGCCCCAGGCCCCAGACGGTGGTGGGTGAGGAACCACATTCACTGGAACCCTCCCCATGACTCTGGGAAGGGTCACCCTGAACAGCCAGCCGGTGGCAATAAAAGACATCAGCTGTAAGAACATCCCCCAACTCCCCTGCAGCCAAGTACCAGGCACAGCCAGGCCCAGGACAAGATGACCATGACCAGCTCGCTCCCCACAGGTCTCCAACTACCTCAACTGGATGGTGAGGAACCTGGCAGACATGGAGATCCAGCTGGGGGCCGTGAAACGCATCCATGGGCTCCTGAAAACTGAGGCAGAGAGCTACGAGGGGCTGCTGGGTGAGGGGCATAGGAGGGCCAGAAGGAGGGGTGTGTTTGGGTTGAGGGAGCCTGGGGGTGGGGGGACACTCCTCGATACCAGCTGTGGCCCACGCCTGATGGCTGACCCCTAGCCCGGCCCCCAGCACCATCACTAATCCCGAAGAACTGGCCGGACCAGGGGAAGATCCAGATCCAGAACCTGAGTGTGCGCTACGACAGCTCCCTGAAGCCCGTGCTGAAGCATGTCAACGCCCTCATCTCCCCGGGACAGAAGGTCAGGGGCACGAGGGCATCGGGCTGGCCGTCTCATGGGCCCCTGATGGCCCTCCAGGCCTCACACTCATTCAGAGCCCCCAGTCTCCTGGCCCTGGGCCCCTCAAACTGACTAGGCTCAGCCCACCTCTCCCCTCCCTTCCTATCTCCTTACCTGCCAAGGAGATAGACACCTGGACTCCCCAGATTAGAGGGGCTTTGTCCGCCCTACCCCCTCCCTGCTGCTGCAGATGGTCAGGACTTTCCCAGAGCACTGCCCCCTGAGCTTCAGGACTGTCACAGGGGTAGAGTGTGAGGCACCCTTGTTCTGGGGAGGGAGCCCCGTATGGGACTCTGCCCCACCTCTCTGATTGAGCCCCTCCTCCTCACTCCCCTCCTGCTCTCTGTGCCACTGCCCCTCTCCTTCCATCCCTTTGCGACTATCTATGTCTCTGTATTGCTTCTTCATTGTCCTTTCTGTTGGTACCCAAGGGCCAGGAAGCTATGGGGTCAGAAATGACTCCAGTTTAAAGTGGGACACACAGAAACATCCCTGCACACCACACTCAGCCACCGCATGCCCTCCTGACACACCCGTGCACATAGAAACACCGATGTCCCCAACTACCCTGCAGCCAAGTACCAGGCACAGCCAGGCCCACACCTAAGCCCAAATGAACATCTACACCCTACACTTGCTTGTGGGGTTCTGTGGGAGCCGCCTCTGGACCCACTGCAGGAAACAAGACCAAGCCCAGGTCCTAGCCCTGGCCAAAGAGAAGCCGGACAGAAAACCAAGACACGAAGACATGCTATGGCTTCCCATACCTGTGCGTCCCCAGAGCTAGCACCAGAGGCTCCCAGCCACCTCCAGAGGCCCCTCAGCGTACCTATTTCTCTCTTTCCAGATTGGGATCTGTGGCCGCACAGGCAGTGGGAAGTCCTCTTTCTCTCTCGCCTTCTTCCGCATGGTGGACATGTTCGAAGGTGAGTAGTATGGCGAGCACCCTCAAGTACCCACAGCCACCAGATGGGACCTCAGTCCTGGTGTACGGTCAGACATCACAGGAGGTCCAGCAATCACTATCTTCCCCTGCATCTTCATTGGGACCCACGCCCCAGGCTGCACCCATCACAGCACCACAGTTCTCCTCTGTGGTGTCCCACCTGTGCCATCATCTCCACGCAGGACGCATCATTATTGATGGCATTGACATCGCCAAACTGCCGCTGCACACCCTGCGCTCACGCCTCTCCATCATCCTGCAGGACCCAGTCCTCTTCAGCGGCACCATCCGGTCAGCCCCATCACCCTGCCAGGCCACCCAAATCCCAGGGCCTCTGAATACAAAGAGGAAAGGGGTGGGCAGGGCCCGGAGCATTCAGGTACCCACCCTAGGTACCCACCTCCCCGGCCAAGCAGCCCTGCTCAAGCCTGGGCACTAGGGGCTGGTGGCAGTTCTTCGGAGGAGTTCTGCCCTCATGCCCTTGTCTTTCCCTTTAGACTTAGGCAGGTACTGGTAGGGATGCCCCAACCCTCAGGTCTGGGATGCCACCACCTTGGTGCCCTCCAAGTGAATCAGTTCTCACTCACTGCTCCTCTCACCCTCTGAGGGTCCCATGGAGACAGAGCCAAGACCATCCTCCCTCCCTAGAGGAGCTTTCTGTGTCATCCTCCAGATTTAACCTGGACCCAGAGAAGAAGTGCTCTGACAGCACACTGTGGGAGGCCCTGGAGATAGCCCAGTTGAAGCTGGTGGTGAAGGCACTGCCGGGAGGCCTCGGTAACTACTACTGACTGAACACTTGGTCGGACACTAAAGGACTCGTGTAAGGGCTGGGGAAAGAAAACTCATGTCTGAGGTTTGCCCAGAGTTTGGAATCTGAGGTCTAGCAGGACCCCAGAGACCATTTAGCCCTACTTCTCTCCATACAGGAGCTCAGAAAGGTCAAGTGACTTGCCCAGATTATGTAACTGGTCAGTTCAGGGTCTGGCCCCTCCTGCAGGGCACGGGGGAAACACGGGGTCACTGTGAGATGGAACTTGCAAGCCTCCTATACCCTGGCAATATTTTCAGCCCTGTCCTTCCCTGTGCACCTGCCTGCCCAGTGCTGTGGAAGGAGGAGGGAGAGGATAGACTGGGAATCACAGGCACAGGGCACTCGAGGGAAGACGCCCTCACCCCAGCAGTCGCTAGAGCCTTGGCATAGTTACTGCGACCCCTGTGGCAGCAGAGGCTGGCCAAGCCTTGGCTTCAGAGGATCCCCCCACCAAGGCCCCCACACAGGAAGCACATACACACTCAGTGCACACGCCCACCCCTGCACTGCCCAGGGCCCCAGCAGCACAAAACTCTAGAGGCTGTTCTTCGCATTGTAATCCATGTAATCTCATGTAACCCGTGTTGTTTTATAAGGCACAGCAACTCTACATGCCTGTACTCACGACAAACGCCCTCAGATTTGCCCCTGTACACACGTTTCCTGACACCCTCCACCCCCACAAGCCACAGCATCTACTCTACTCACAAGGCAGGATTCACTCAGCCCTGCTCCCCTCCCTGGGGCTGATTTCAGATGCCATCATCACAGAAGGTGGGGAGAATTTCAGCCAAGGCCAGAGGCAACTGTTCTGCCTGGCACGAGCCTTCGTGAGGAAGACCAGCATCTTCATCATGGATGAGGCCACGGCTTCCATCGACATGGCCACGGTTGGTCCTGGGCACATCCACGGGCTGGGGATCTTGGAGAAGGTCTTGTAGGGGTGTTAGGGAGAAGTTTGCACAAAGCAGTCCTGAAGTTTAAGTTGCCTTTAACATCAAGGGCCATTTGTGGAAGAAAAAGCAAAGGGCCAGAGAACCGTGACTCCAGCTAGTTTTAGGTCCTGTTCATAACCCAAACCCACCTACACACAAGCTGCACAGAGACCTACAGAGACTTCCCACCTGTCACCCGCCACACAGCATACCCCAGACACACTCACAGCACACATACATGCACAGAGCTGAGCTCCCAATAGGCTGGGGACCTGGTCAGTCCTATGGGGACTAGGGCCAGACAGAGGGACGGAGTGGTGCTAGGATTGGGGTCAGATGGGAGCTGGGCCACAAGCCTGGGCCCCACATCCCCAGAGCCAGACTGGACCCCATCTGCTGGCACCGGGCGGGTCAGCCAACAGCTGCTGCTCCCACCTGGCAGGAAAACATCCTCCAGAAGGTGGTGATGACAGCCTTCGCAGACCGTACCGTGGTCACCATCGCGGTAAGGGGCCCGTTGGTGGGGTGCAGAGGGATGCCTGGACACAGGGCTGGCCTTCTGAGGCTGTCATCAGTGAGCAGCCCCTGAGATCACTTGGGCCTGGTAATCAAGAGAGGATCCTAGAGCTGGGCAGGGAGGCTGGATCGTAGGATTTGGGGTAGAGGGGTTTGCACCTGCACGTCCATCAGACCTCCCCTCTCATTCTCCAGGTTCCAAAGTCCCCTCATGTCCCAAGGCCTTATGAGCTAGGCTGGGGTTACTTCTCCATAGGAAATGGGGAATGGGGTGACTCTCTGGGACTTGAAACCTGGAGGTTGGAGCAGAGCTGAGACTTGATGAGGGGAGAGGGTATCATTAGTGGCTCAAAATCACAGCCACCCCAGGAAAGGGCTGTCACCGCAGAGATAGGACGTTCTGGCCACATGCCTCCTCCTCCAAGCTGCAGGAGGGATTCCCTCAGCTGCCCCGCCCCTTCCCCCATCACCCTAACCAGCCCCCTCCTGCCTGGCCCAGCACCGCGTGCACACCATCCTGAGTGCAGACCTGGTGATTGTCCTGAAACGCGGTGCCATCCTTGAGTTTGACAAGCCAGAAAAACTGCTCAGCCGGAAGGACAGCGTCTTCGCCTCCTTTGTTCGTGCAGACAAGTGACCTGCCAGAGCCCTAGTGCCATCCTATGGCCCACCCTGCTCCCACCTCCCGCCTGGGTTTTCTAACTGTAAATCACTTGTAAATAAAGAGATTGGTTATTTCCTACCAAAAGCCTTGGCGCTGGTGGGCGGGGGCTCGGGTGGCCTGTGAGTCCAGTGGAGCCAGCATGACTTTGGCATCGGCAGACCTGAAGAAGCTGTGTGCGTGTGGGCAAAGGGAGTCTCATCTGAGAAATGAGGGTTGTATTTGTCTCCTAGGGCTACCAGAACAAAATACCACAGACTGGGTGGCTTAAACAACAGAAATTTATTTCTTCACTTCTGGAGGCCAGAAGTGTGAGATCATGGTGCCAGAGTTCTGGTGAGAGCTCTCTTCCTGGGTTGCAAATAACCGCCTCTCACTGTGTGCTCACTTGGTAGAGAGAGAGAAAGCAAACAAGCTCTCTGGTGTCTCATAAGATCACTAATCCCATCATGAGGGCTCTTCCCTCATGACTTCATTTAAACCAGCTTATCTCCTAAAATCCTCATCTCCAAACACAAATACCGTCATATTGGGGGGTTAAGTCTTCAAAATAGGATATGAATTTTGATGGGATACAATTCAGTCTATAGCATGTGTTTGTGTGTATGTATATGAACACAGAGAGATGGATATAAACAAAAATTAATATAGATATGGGTTAATATAATATGTTTTTTCCTAGTTGTGTTTGCTGAGAGGGGAAATTTATTTCTGACCATTCTAAAGAATGGAAGTCTAAGATCAAGGTCACAGATTTGGTTTCTCCTGAGGCTTCACTCCTTGGTCCAGATACCCATCTTCTAGCTGTATCCTCACATGGCCTTTCCTCTGTGCATGTACATCTCTGGAATCTTGGGAAAGATGCTCTTTCCCAATAGTTCCCACAAAAAATCTTGGGAGCAAATCTCAGTGGACCAATTTGGGTCTTATCCCCACCTTTGACCCAATCACTGTGGTCAGAGGGCTGAAATATACTGACTGGCTAGGACTGAATCACATGTCCCTTTCTCTGTCCCCCATGCAGGGGCATTCAGAAGAGAGAGAAGGGAGGCCCTTCAGAGGGAAAACACAGTGTATATACCATAAGTCAGCCAGGTGGTGGCTGGGAGATGCTGGGGCCCAGACATTGGGGTGACCAAAACAACCAGCTGTCCTCAGATTCCATCTGTATCATCAAACAGGACTGCACACCTGCCCTCAGCCAAGAAATGGCAAATGCTCATTTGTATATCACTTTATTATCATTTACATGTTGCCTTTAGTACCAGTGCTACCAGGCCCTGGCCTATAGACCCAGAAGTCTTGGGCCTGTGTCTGTCTTGTTTGCAAGTGGAACACATGCAACATAAAAAAAACCCACCAGTCATTGGAGAGGGGCCCAGCACAAAACAAACCCTTCTGGGTGTTTCAAGAACTCAGAAAGGGAGAGTTCTGTGAGGCTGCCTGGGAGAGGCAGGATTTGAGTTGGGCATGGGAGGGGTAGGAATTAGTAGGCAGAGAGTTAGAGAAATGGGCCCATGCAGTGTGTGGTGGCATAAGATTAGACAGCCTTGAATGCCAGGACAAGGAGTCTGCGATAAGGCTCTGAAAAAAAGGAAGTAGAGACTTAAGTGAGAAATGGACCTGACAAGTGCAATGTTTGGGAGAGATGAGTATGAGGAGGTACGGGATGGATCAGGGAAGGAGGCTGAGCCCTCTGGGTAGGGGGTTTGCTCTCCTGGAAAGGGTAGAGCAGGGAATAGCTGAGGCCTCAGGGCCACGTTGTGAGGCAGGGCCTCGCCCTTCCGGCTCTGAGATGCCTCTGGGAGCCCGGCAGCATCCTCCACTCCTGGGGCTTCTCAGGATCAGAGCCTGGGAGGGGAAAGGATTTCCATCCCCTGCATGCCCCGCCCCCTCCACCCAAAGAATTGAATGCAAGTAGCAAGAGAAGGGCAGGGCCCACACTGAAGTCTTGTGGAGATGCCCAAGGCCCTCCTAGCCCAAACCCTTCCATAACATCCCTGATGGTCTGCCAACCTTGACTTGGATACCATACAGATATAGGTCATCTCTGGTTATTAGAACTGACTCTTCTATATATGAAATCAAAGCCTGCCTCTGTTCCACTCCTTGGACTCCAGGGGTTTCTGCAATAGTACCCAAACTCCCTGGGGGGCTCTTCAATGCTTCTTTTCTGATGGCTAAAGAGCTGCAGTTGCCCCAGAATTTTCCTGTATAACCCTGTCTCCTTGAGCTTCCACTCTGCTCATCCTGTTTCCCCTCCCCACCCTAGGCACTGCATCTCTGGTGATATAGCCCAAGATCACACTTACCCTGAGTAGTATCCACTGTGCCTACAGGTGGATATGAGAGAGAAAGGAGCACTCGATATGAAAGTCACACCCTGCCCCACTCTGGCCCATATCCCCACAGTCCCTATCTTTCCAGCTCCTGCCTCAAACCCTTACTCCAACGAATAGACAGAGAGAGGGAGTGGGGCCATTATTGCCACAACAGAGACCTAGCAGGCTTTCCTTTTCAGCTGCGAACTGGGGGCCCCCCCATCTGGGGCCCAAGCCACAGGCAACTCCAGGTTGATGCCTGCAATAGAAACACCACTCATGTCCAAGCCAACAGTTTGTGTCCCCCAGTGCCCAAGCCGGCTCTAATACAGCCACTCAGACCTTGGTGCCTCCTATTACATAAGGTAGAAGAAATTAGGCTGCAGATGTAAGGAGATGTAAAGTAAGTGCCAGCAGCTCAAATCCTCCTTAAAATGCTCGGGGGAGGTGAACCGCGAGGGGTGGGGCTTGAGCCTGTGCCCGACCCCTCTAGTTCAGGAACAGGTCGGGCTCCCCCTGGCGGCACCAGGCCCCCACTCCACCCTTCAGGCGCCCCTCGCCTTCAACCTTCTACCCACACCTAGCACAGGTCGGTCTCCACCCACCCACAAAAGGATGAGAGGACCGCCCGCTGCGAGCGCCCGGGCGGCAGGAGGGGGCGGGGAGGGGACGGCTGCGGCTTGAGGAGCAGGAGCAGGTGCCTCGGCGACAAGCAGGCGGGGCAGGGACGGAAAAACGCGCAGCGGGGGCGCGGCGCCGGCGTGCGTGCGGCGGGCGGGGAGCCGGGAGGCCAGGACTCTAGAGAGCGCGCGGCCAGGTCGCGCTGGGGGCGAGGGGATCTGGAGTTGAGCCGGGTGGGGTGGTGACTCTAGAGGACTCAGGATCCCAAGGAGACAGGGAGGACGAAAGCTGGGGGAGGATCTGAAGAGCGGAGAGAGCGCTAGGGGGGGTGGGGTAGGAGAGAGGGAGCATACTTGGAGGTGAGACTGGGGGTAGTCAGAATCTGCTTGGAGCGGGGCGGGGGGGGGGCAGAAATGGGTGCGGCAGGAGACACGGTGGGAGTTGTGTGAGGGCTGGTCGGTTGGAGGTGTTAAGTTTTAAGGTGGGAGAGGTGGGTTGAAAAGGAAGCCTCGGTGGGAAGAAGGGGCTTAGTGGGACGCCCAGGGATGGTCAGTGGGTGGAGGACTGTTGAGCTGAGACCCAGGGCCAGGTGGAGAACAGGCAGAGCGGGGGTCTCACTAGGCAGTGGACAGGTAGGCTGAGGTGTGAGGCTGGTTTAAAGAAGCGAAGCAGAGGCCAGATGGAGACGAGGATGAGTCTGGTTGGGGAGTCATCTCAGAAGTGAGGCCAGCACAGACTGAGTGAGAGTGGTCCCAAAGTGGAAGGGTACCCAGGGAGGAAACCCTACAGTGAGGCCTAGGCTGGTCAGGGAGGCACCCCCCATGGGGGAAGCCTCTCCCTGGTGGTCGTTGGAGCCATGCTGTCCCGCAAGGGCATCATCCCTGAGGAATATGTGCTGACGCGACTGGCAGAAGACCCTGCGGAGCCCCGGTACCGTGCCCGTGAGCGGAGGGCCCGCTTCGTGTCCAAGAACGGCAACTGCAACGTGGCCCACAAGAACATCCGGGAGCAGGGCCGCTTCCTGCAGGATGTATTCACCACGCTGGTGGACCTCAAGTGGCCGCACACGCTGCTCATCTTCACCATGTCTTTCCTCTGCAGCTGGCTGCTCTTCGCCATGGTCTGGTGGCTCATCGCCTTCGCCCACGGCGACCTGGCCCCTGGCGACCTGGCCCCCAGCGAGGGCACCATTGTGCCCTGCGTCACCAGCATCCACTCTTTTTCATCTGCCTTCCTTTTCTCCATTGAGGTCCAGGTAACCATTGGTTTCGGCGGGCGCATGGTGACTGAGGAGTGCCCACTGGCCATCCTGATCCTTATAGTGCAGAACATTGTGGGGCTCATGATCAATGCCATCATGTTGGGCTGCATCTTCATGAAGACGGCGCAGGCCCACCGAAGGGCCGAGACTCTCATCTTCAGCAAGCACGCGGTCATCGCCGTGCGCCATGGCCGCCTCTGCTTCATGCTGCGTGTGGGCGACCTTCGCAAGAGCATGATCATCAGCGCCACCATCCGCATGCAGGTGGTGCGCAAGACCACCAGCCCTGAGGGCGAGGTGGTGCCTCTCCACCAGGTGGACATCCCTATGGAGAACGGCGTGGGTGGCAACAGCATCTTCTTGGTGGCTCCCCTCATCATCTACCACGTCATCGATGCCAACAGCCCACTCTACGACTTGGCGCCCAGTGACCTGCACCACCATCAGGACCTCGAGATCATCGTCATCCTGGAAGGTGTGGTGGAAACCACAGGCATCACCACCCAAGCCCGCACCTCCTACCTGGCGGACGAGATCCTGTGGGGCCAGCGCTTTGTGCCGGTTGTGGCCGAGGAGGATGGCCGCTACTCCGTGGACTACTCCAAGTTTGGCAACACCGTCAAAGTGCCCACGCCACTCTGCACAGCCCGCCAGCTTGATGAGGACCGCAGCCTGCTGGACGCCCTAACCCTCGCTTCTGCCCGTGGGCCACTGCGCAAGCGCAGCGTGGCCGTGGCCAAGGCCAAGCCCAGGTTTAGCATCTCTCCGGATTTCCTGTCCTGAATCATGGTCCCTTGGGCCCCTACATCACGTGTGTGCACACGGGCAGTATGGTATGGTATGTAGAGTGGACATGGTGTGGGCCTCTTGGCCAGGCCAGGACCTGGTGTGAGACTAGGCCTTCCTCGGCTCAGCCTCCCCGCCTGCTGCTCGCCCAGGGTGTTACAAGGCATTGTCATTATGCTATTTCTGGCCTCAGCAGGAGCCTGTACTGGGTTATTTTTGACCCTGCTTCTCCCAGCCCCAGCCCAGGACTGACTGGACTCCTTTCTGCGTCCCAAGTTCGGGAAGCTGTGGGAAGTGTTGGGCCCTAAAGCTGGGTCTCCAGCTTATCTTGGGCCCCCATGATCGACCATCCACAAGCTGAGCAGATGGCTGGGGAAAAACAGTCCCCAGGTTGGGGACCTGCTGCTGTGTTTCTGTGGCCCCAAGAGATGCCTGTGGCCAGGCCCTAGCAGCCCTTGGGCCCTGAAAATGTAATGAACTAGAAAGTGGGCCCAGCCAGCTGGGAAAGGCAGTCAATGAGGGAGCACATTCCAGCTGCAAGACTGGAGGTGTTGAGCCTACACAAACAGGAACTGTCGGAAGCTCACGGGGCTCCCCTCCACAGGGAAGGCTCAAGCAGGGAGGAAATGCTGCGAGGATGCTCAATTTTGCTGAGTCCTGCTCAGGCACAGAGAAGAGGAGATGGGCCCTGTGCCCCTGACCTTTGCCCCAATACTAAGGCTTCTACAGTGAGGGCTCCATAGGCTGAGTGAGGCTGCTGTGCCTCCCTGCTCTCTTTCTGTCCCCCACCATTGGAGGCTGGGGTGGGCTGGGGAAGACAATGGCATGCCAAAAAGAAAGAGGCTGGAGCGGGGAAGGCAGTGGTCCTGGGCCCACTATAATTGGTGGGCCTCAGACCAAATTCTGGTCCTGGCTCCCCACCAGTGGCTGCCACTCACTGTATCCAGAGGGTGACTGCAGAGGGTCTTTGGGTTGCTAGGAAAGGAGAGGTTGGAAAACTCAGAATGGTGGGGGTGAGCAAGGTCCCTGAGGTGAAGAGGCCCTTGGCTCTGATAGACTTGACCCCAAACCTGGACTCTGGAGCAGCGCTGTGTATACTTGCCCAGAATTCTGCCTTTTCTCTTATCAATAAAGACTCCCTCCTCTGTGACCTAAATTCTGGGCTGTGCTTGCTGGGGAGGCAGGAAGCATACTGGCAAACAGGGAAGGCAGGGGCTGGAGCTGCCAGTCCACATTCCAGAGGTGCCATGGACCATAATCCAAGGCCTGGGAAGGGATCTGAGGCTGGCCTTCTTCCCCAGTTCAGGGAGACTTCTCCCCTCTTGCCTCAGGTAGCCCAGCCCTGCCAGCCTGTCTGGACATTTCAACCTTTGGACACCTACCAGACTTATATATAGCCCTGCCTCCACTCCTGGGAATCTGCTGGAAGGCTGGGGTGCTCAGGGAGAGAGATGAGGATGTCATATGCATTAGTGTAGTGATTGGAGCATAAACCAACTGCCTGGGTTCAAATCCTGGCTCTAGCTCTAAGATCTTGGTCAAGTAACTTAACCTCTCTGTGCCTCAGTCGTCTCATCTGTAAAGTGGGATACTCATGGCACCTACCTCATAGAATTGTTGTGGGAGTAAGTGAAAAACACATATAAAATGCTTAAGTGTCTGATACATAATAAGTGCTTAATAAATGTTAACTCTTGTGATTGCTATTGAATCAGCCACATGAGGAGACAACTGACCAAATGAATGTTAAGAGAGAAGGTGCTGTTATATCTCCCCTCAGTGATGGTCTTACTTTCTTCACAATGTCCTCTCCCAGCTGTAGCGGCGCCTATTACCCGGTCTTCTTGTCTCTGTCTCGCCCCTTCAGTCCATCTGCCATGCAGCCACCAGGGTTATTATTAAAAGGGTCGTGATCATCCTCTCCATGTCAACTACCTTCAGTGGTTTCCCATCGCCTTCTGGGTCGAGGCTAGACCCCATAGCCAGCCATTTCAGGCTTTTCCTGCTTTCTAACCTTACAGTTCACAGTTCTCTTGCCAGGACCCTGTGTACCCTCTCACTCCCTTGGCTCCCTTACTATCCCCTTCTTGCATATAACATTGACCTTCCTACTTTTGAGCCTGGCTTATGTTACTCCCTTTGCCTGCACTGCCCAAGGCCTCATCCCTGCCTGTTCAAATCTATAAAAGTCCAGGCCAAATGATGCTTCCTTGAAGCTTTCCCTTGTTCTTCTGGAAAAAGATAGTCCTGTCCCTTCTTCTGTATTTACGGGCATTCTACTTTGGCCTGTGTTCTCAGATCTGTGTTCCCATCCGATATCATGTCATGGCTCCTTGAGGTCAGGGACTGTGTCTCATTTAGCACTCTGCCTGGCACTGAGTAAGTGCTGAATGAGTGAATGAATAGATGGATGAATGAATAGATGATAGATGCATGGATAGATGGATGGATGCATGGATGGATGGATGGATGGATGGATGGATGGATGCTACAGGACAATAAGCCAAGGTTATTGAGGATTGCAGAGCGCCTTTGCTGGATTGGTGAGAGTGTGTCACAGGCTACTCCAGAAGCAGAGCTAAGGGGCCAGGAAGCTGCTGCTGCTGTTTGACACTCTAAGCTGCCTCTTCCCTGCACCACACAGTCCCCCAGCATTGGTTCCCTTCCTTGCTTAGCTGACCCATTTCTGGTTTAGAGGAAGAAGGGATGAGAAGCTACTCAGAGTCAGCCCAGACTTTCTGGGGGCAGCGCCTGGCTCTTGGAACTTAGCTTGGCTGTGTTTAAGATCCAGGGAGGGGCCAGACTCACTGAGAAACCCCTTGGCAGCACCATCCTTGGGACCCCTTCTAGAAGGTTACTTCTAGAGTAACCTTATTCCAGCCCCTCAGAGACTTTAAGTAGCTGGTGACAGTGAACTGGCAGGACTGAGGGCTCAGCTCCACCTGCTGGCCCCAAAGAAGACCTACTTGAGCCCAGAAAATCTGGGCCACTGGTCCTAGGCTCTCCACTCTAAGAGAGAAACCCCCACCCCCTGCGCCCCAGCCTTAAAGCCTAGCTCAGGGAAGAGCTGGAAAGTTCCAGGCATGGAGGGGCAGCTGGACCAAGCCTTCCTTGACTCCTCTGAATGTTTTTGCCCATTGATAGTTCTCCCTCCATCTGGGGCACTCCTGCTTTAAGGCACTGAACTACATTGGCCCAGGAAGTTTCTCTGAGCTTCAAGCCAGCAGGAACTTCTGTGACAATTTAGTTTCTGATATTCTGCCTCCAGGACAGCATCGAGCATCATATAAGAGCAGACAGAGCAGTCCATGTTAATCCGCACCCTGTGTGCAGAACTGGCTCTCCTCTAGGCCCTCGGAAAGGGGATGGAAGTAGCTCTTGTCACCAAGGTCCAATGCCGAAGGAGGCACTGTTCTGCGGTTCAGTGCTGAGGGAGGCTCTGTTTTCCTCCAAGTCTGCAGATGAGGAAACAGGATCAAAAGTGACATTAACTTGCTAAGACCTCACAGCTAGTAAATGGCAGGCCCAAGGTTTGGACCTGAGTCTGTCTCAGATTGCTGCACAGTCCCAGTGACCTGAGCTCCAGCTTTTACTAGGGGTGCCACCTTTCCTAAGTGTCAAATCCACCACAAGGAGACACCTGTTCTCTAGATGAAGAACAAGAGGGAAAGTGTAACTCAGGAAGCCCCTGGGCCTCTCTGAGGTCCCAGATTGGAGACTAACAACGGACTCAGCTGCAATAACACCTAGGGATTTGGCATCTCCAGCCAGTCACCATGAGGCCCGCATGTAGCCCTGCTGCTGGAGAGGATTCACCCAGCTTCTATAGGACCCACTCTCCACAGGCGGCACCTTCCCAGCTCTGTCCTGCACTTAAACTCCTCCCTGACAGCTTTTCTTAGGGAGAACTTCCCTAGGGAGCTTGCTGCAAGTAGAGTAGCCATGGCTTTCTCAGTGTCTCTGGGCTCACCGCTGATGCCTCTCCGGGTCTAGGAATCAGACATCCTATCTTGTACCAAGACATGCAGAAGACTTTGGGGAGAAGATATGAATCGTTGCATGCCAAAGTCATGTTGACCCCATACTGGGGCAGATATCAAGAACTATGGATCTGTTTTAGCTTAACAAAAAAAACCCCAAAAACCTGGGAAAGGCAGAACTGTGGGATTCAAGTGCGAACTGGGTTCCAGAGAGTGGGTTTATTGCCCTAGAATCTAACTTATTGGCATTCTCTCTGCCAGGTCCATCTGCCTGGGGTATTTTATATCTTCATGGAAAAGGAAGCAGGTGCTACCTTTAACCTATTCTATTTCCACTCTGGGCAGACCCAACTCTGAATGACATGAGAGGCAGGTCACTTAGGCTGGCCAACTTGGGTACAGGAGTGTGAACTTCTGCCTTTCCCCTCAACTCAGGTCCTTTCAGGCACTGATGCCAACGAGTGGAAAAGTAATGCCAAGTGCATATGCAAGTACACAATTTATTTCCTTCACTGGGAGAAGTAAGAGTGTACAGGAGTACAGGTCAGGTCAACGGTACCCAAAAGCTTTCTTCAGCTTGTTAGTCACACACCTCCCCTTCATGAAGAGGTATCATTCTTTGCAGCACAAATATATCCCAAACTCCTCCTCCACAGACCATCAGCACCTAAAGTGATGAAGCAAAACAAACTTCGGGTAGCCCTGCCTCTGTGTCCTCTTTACTTCATTTGATCAATTCCAGCTTTTCTCATAAAGCCATTATTATTGGGGAAGGGAAGTCACTCCAGAGTAACCCAGAGAGAAGTAAATGCAATACAATTCTGAGGCTTGGATTCTTTTGTTAAATTCCTAATGTGTCCTTGGTTTTCCACCCATCTTGGCAGTGGAAAAATGAAAATCATCCCATAATTGTCTCTTTTGTGCTTCTCTTCAGTTCTTTCAAGTTCTGACCAGCATTTTTTCTAAGTTTAGTAATTCTTTGATGCCTTTTCTTTTTTCTACTTCACAGATTCTCTTCCAATCGATAATGTCCATTTAACATTCCCCCATATTTTACATCTTTATAATTTTTTAATCATCCTATAAAAAGATCCCATTTGTGATTTTCCCATCTAATGTATTTCATTTTTTACCTTTGTATTATTTTACTATTCTATCACAATCTCTACAAAATTATAATTTATTTTACTAAATGTATAAAATTTCAATTGCCTTACCACTTTTTCCCAAAGGGTGTCATTCTCTTTCAACCACTTTCAACCACTGTAACCAGCTTGGGACTACTTTAACTGTTGCCATGTTCCTCCTTCCAGTTCTCCACCTAGAAATTCATTGGTTCTCCTAATTACAGTCTCATAATAGGCACAAACCACACCGATGCTGCAACCCCCAAATACCACCACTAGAGGCCACTCTAAATCACCACCGTGGCCGCTGAGCTATGGGGAGTCTGTTCTACTCACCTTCCAAGCCAAGAGACTTCCATGTCTTATGCCTGGGTTTTCATTGTGCCCCTCCTGAGTGACCTAAGAACCGTTTCTCAGAGTCATCACTCCAGCTTCCAATAGAGATGGGAACTGGGCTTCTCTGCCCCACAAAGGTCCTGAAATACTACTGCACATCCCTGGTAACTGCCTGCACTCAGAACCACACTGTATGTTATCCATGACCCACACCTGGCATGAGACCTTTCACAGGCCTGTTAACCTCTGTCCTGGATGAGGTCCCCATACTTATTTCCAATGTGGAATAGCATCAGCCACCTTGGTTCAGTCACAGAAAATAAGGCAAGGGCCAAACACGCCAACCAACAGGTCCTCTCATAAGAACAGACTAGAATTGTACAGAATGAGCCTCTCTTGTAGACCTAATGTTCAAACTCATCCTTCACAGCCCAGCCTCACCCTAGATCTTCCTTGGTGGTATGGTATATTGATTAAAAATCCAAGCTCCACCCTCTACCAGCCCTGAGACCAGGGGAGAGTCACTTATCTTCTATCAAAGAAAAACTCAGAAGTAGTAAATTAAAAGTGCAGTTGAATGCTTTTGTTCACATATTGGCATGTACAGATTGATCTCACCGAACAACGAAGTAGCATTTGAAATGGAGACGTGCCATAGTTTGGAAACAGTCAGTGTTGCTTTCTTTTTTTTCTTTAATTGAGGTATAATTGATCTATAACATTATATTAGTTTCAGGTATATGACATAAGATTTGATATTTGTATATATTGCAAAATGATCACTACAATAAATCTAGTTAAAATCCATAACAATTACAATTTTTTCATGATAACTTTTAAGATTTATCCTTTGCAACTTTCAAATATACAATACAGTATGATTAACTCTAGTTACCATGCTATACATTACATCCTCATGACATATTTAAAATTCGAAGTTTATAAATAAATTTTAAAAAATTCGGTCTTTACTTTTTGACCCCCCTTCACCCATTCCACCCCCTTCTTATTTCCCACCTTGAACCACCACCAGTCTGACTTCTGTATCTATGAGCTCTTTTTCTGTTTTTAGATTCCACATATAAGTGAGATCATATGAATCTGTCTTTCTCTGACTTATTTCACTTGAAGTACTGCCCTCAAGGTCCAATCGTGCTGTCACAAATGGCAAGATTTCCTTCTTTTTTATGGCTGAACGGTATTCCACGGTGTATACAGTCACACTGCATAACGACGTTTTGTTCAACAATGGACTGTCCACACATACAATAGTGGTCCCTTAAGCTTATAGTGGAACTGAAAATTTCCTGTCACCTAGTGACGTCACAGACATCATAACATTGTAGCACAACGCATGACTCAGGTAGTTGTGGTGATGCTGGTGTAAACAAACCTACTACACTGCCAGTACTATAAAAGTATGGCACATATAATTATGTACAGTACATAATACTTGATAATGAAAATAAATTACTATGTTACTAGTTTATGTATTTACTATGCTATACTTTTATCGTTATTTTAGAGTCTACTCTTTCTACTTATAAGAAGTTTGCTATAAAACAGTATGTGGTATGATGCTCGCAGCATCTCATATTTAACAGCATCTCTTGATTGCATTCTCTTGCGCTTAATCTCATGCGATTTTATAATTTAGCATAGCCTAAGTGCACAGTGTCTATAAAGTCTACAGCAGTGTACAATAATGTTCTAAGCCTTCACATTCACTCACCACTCACTCATTCACTCACTCACTGACTCACCCAGAGCAACTTCCAGTCCTGTAAGCTCTATTCATGCTTAGTGTCCTATACAGGTGTACCATTTTTTATCTTCTATACCTTATTTTTACTTTACATTTTCTATGTTTAGATACATAAATACCATGTGTTACAATTGCCTACAGTATTCACTACAGCAACATTCTATGCAGGTTTGTAGCCTAGAAGCAATAAGGTATACCATACAGACTAGGTGTGCAGCAGATACTATCTAGGTTTGTGTAAGTACATTCAGTGGCATTCGCACAATGATAAAACCCCCTAACAACACATTTCTCAGAATGTATCCCATTGTAAGTGACACATGACTGTGTGTGTATACATATATATCATATTTGTCCATTCATCTATCGATAGACACTTGTTTCCATGTCTTGGCTGTTGTACATAATGTGGCAGTGAATGCAGGGATGCATGTATCTCTTCAAGTTAGTGGTTTTTTTTCTTCAGAGAAATACCTCGAAGTAGAATTGCTGGATCATGTGGTAATGCTTTTAATTTTTAAAAAACTTCCAAACTGTTTTCTGTAATCATTGCACCAATTTATATTCCCACCAACAGTACACAAGTGTTCCCTTTTCTCTACATCCTCGTCGATACTTTTTACTTCTTGTCTTTTTGATAATAGCCATTCTAACAGGAGTGAAGAGGTATCTCAATGTTTTGATTGTTTGCATTTCCTTGATGATTAATGATGTTGAGCATCTTGTCATGTACCTACCTACTGGCCATTTGTATATCTTCTTTGGAAAGTATTGCTTTTGCTTTTTCTTGGAAAAAGCTGGTTGGCTGGAGACTGTCAAGGAGAGCAGTTTGAATAGTCTGTTCTTGAACAAGCTGTCTGGCAATTGGTAGAGTAATTGCAGTAACTTATACATTCTCTGAGAAACATTGTGGTATCTGCTGTCTGTCTTTATGTTAGTACTGACAATGTCCCAGTGTTTCCTGCATTTGAATAAGCCATGAATGTATCATAATGAAAGCACCTTGTTCTAATTCTTAGTCCCTCCAGGTATTAGTTTCAGTCTTCTGAAAAGCAGCTGTCAAGCTGGTATTAGAACTACAATGTGTGGCTAGTGCCTATGAAAGTGAAACAAGAAACGGTACAGAATTAGGTGGGAAAAGCCTTCAGACCATGATGTAGGTTTGATATCTGGGAAAGAAGGAGCAAGAACGGGTTATCAAGAGCCTCAGACTACAGTACAATTCTGAGAAAGTCTCAGCCACCCCAACAAGAGCTCCAAAGACTCCTCCTTTGTTCAGCAACTGGCTGGAGATGCCCAGGGAGAGCATCACATAAGTTTGAAAACTGCAGCAGATTCCTGAGATGGCACAGTTGGAGCATGTTGGCTGAGTACACTCTTCATAGCAGGCTCACTCTCCAAGGGGGTTTCTGCAGCACATGTTCATGGCAATCACACTTTTTGGTCAAAACTCAGCTTCCTGAGGAGCTATATCAGTTAGCTTTTGCTGTATAACAAGCTAGCCTAAAACACAGTGGCTTAAAAAAATAAATATAAAAAATAACATCTGACAGTTGGCTCTGTTGGTGCTGATGATCTCAGGGAGATCTGCTCACATGTCTGGGAGTTGAGTAGCTGTCATTTGATTGCAGCGGGTCCTCAAATAATGTGGTTTCATTCAATGTCGTCTCATTATAATGCTGATGAAATGTTGTAAGAACTTAAATCTTGTTTATATCAACTAACGTACAGTAAAATTGGTTTCATTATACATCATTTCATTTAAAGCAGCAGAATCTATTGACATTAAGTGAAGACTTACTGTAGGCTGGCCTCCAATGCAGCCATTCACTCTAGCTTCCAGTATCTCTCATTCTCCAGCAGACACTGCTTCCAGTATCTTCCATCCTCCAGCAGACTAGCATGAGCATGTCCTCCTCTCACTAGTGTCAGAAGCACAAAAGAAAGCAAACGGAAATACACAAGGCCTCTTGATGCCAAGGCTTAGAACTGGTACTCTTTCACTTCTGTCTCATTCTATCAGCCGAAGCAAATCACAAGGTCGAGCCCAATGTGAAGAGGGAGCCCACGACTGGAGGACAATGCAGTTACATGGCGAAGGACACAGATACGGGGAAGAGTGAAGGATGGAGGCTGCCCTTGAAAACCACCGCAGACTCCAGGCTGATCATGAAGGCTTTAGTCTTCTTTTTTTTTTAGTCTCTTTTTCAATAAACATCATTGTCCAATGTCCGGTTACGGTGACAACCCCTGGATACCAGAAGCCAGAGAAAGGCAAGAAATATGAGAACATTCACAAATATCACAAGAAATATTTGATATCACATTATATCCAGTTTTCACATTGACCTAAGTCCAATCAGGGGAATAAGTCCCATGAATAATCACTTGGCCAACTTTAGATAAACGAACAGCCTCTTTTCTTGATTAATTGATCATTCTACTTTTCCTAAAGCATTTATAATGATACGTATTAGCTATTGCACAGATTCTACCTTGGCCAGCTCATAAATAAGTAAGGGCAATTTTATTATCTAGAACCATTTTAACCAACATGTTTACACTGTCTCTTGGGCCTCTCTACAGCTTCAGCTGTTTTATTGTTTATCACAGTCAGTGATAAACGTGTTTGGAAACACCTAGTGAGGGTTAGAAATTCTGGGTTTAACCGCTGAAATCTGGTGGTAGGTTACCCCACTGAGCTATTAGCAAAATATGAGCACCTGGGGGAAGGAATTCTCCTCTCTGAGCCATGGTTTCTGCGTGTGAGAACAACGACGCAGCCCATACCTGGTTCAAAGTCTTGGTGTGAACTAATAAGGTACGGTCTGGTTCACAGTGAGACTTGTATATTATAAAGAGACAAAGAGGCTGTACAGTGCATCTTCCCCGAGTCGCAAGCCACCATACAGAGATCAGATGAGAAAGTTCTTCCCCAGCACTATATCAGAAAAAGCCACACACCACAACCACATACCACACTTAGAATCCCCCAGCATCAATCCTGAGAAATCCTCAACACCATCTGGTGAGGATCTCTAAACTAGAGCCAACTCTAAAATGTGGGGCTAAACTGTGCTCCAGCACCCCTTACCTTTTCCAAAAGAAGTAACCTAAACCTAAAATCAGTCCAATGACTAAGATTGATCCAATACAGATAACAATGATCCGCACGCCAGTTGACTTCTCAGATTCTGCAGAGAGAAAGGAGGAAAACATTAAGAGAAAACCTCCTGGCAGGGGACAAAGAGACCACACAACTACTGCTAAGATCTGTGTGGTTATGTGTAATTTCCCTGTCATAGATAGAACAACCAATCCTCTGCCATGCCTTGGCATCCTTCATTCCTATCACGTATACCTACCTACACATCAAACAGTGTGTTTTAGTACTTGCCAGAGTACACAGCAATATCAAACCCCACATACCACATATACATGCCACGTACATGTTCAAACCTTCCACACTACTACACCATCTTACACAACTATAAGCTGCTATAAACTGAATGTTTGTGTCCCTCCCAAAATTATATGTTGAAATCCTAATACTCAATATGATAGTATTAGGAGGTGGGGCTTCTGGGAAGTCAGTAGGTCATGAAGGTGGAGCCTTCATGAATGAGATTAGTGCCCTTAAAAAAGAGACGCTAGAGCAATCCCTCGCCCCTTCCATTGTGTGAGAATACAATGAGAAGTCTGTGACCCAGAAGAGAGCCCCCACCTGACCATAATGGCACACTGATTTCAGACTTCCAGCCTCCAGAACTGTGAGTAATAAAGTTCTATTGCTCATAAGCCACCCAATGTGGCAATTTGTCATAGCAGCCCAAACAAACTAAGGCATATACACATCAGCCAGACAAACCTTTTATACCATACACACAAAGTATATTTCAATTTCATACTCCCCATGCCCCATACACATCCTGCACATCTCCATGCACACACCACCCACACATAGCTGTGGCCCTTACTTTCAAGAATAGTTTCTTCTGTTTCTCCAGGATCATCCTGGGCCTCATCTGGCACACCCAGACCACATCGCCCAGGGACACTAGTTAGTGCTTGCCTTCCTAACTCCTCTCAGTACCAGGTAGATGGATCAGAAGGGTCATTGCAATCCAGGGCCAGAGACATGAGAAGAAGCCAGGATATGAGCTCAATGAACCCCACCAGCAGGAGGGGCTCTGTAGTGAGTTGTGGTATCCTAAGCTAAGGATGCAGTGTGCCTGGAGAAAGCCTAGGCATCAGCAGGACCCCTGCTATGACCTCCCCTTCTTGGGCATAGAACTACTGATTCAACCTCTACCAGCCAACAGTTTTCTGTGGACCTGAAGCCTGACCAGAAGAGTTTGTTGGCAGAGCTGGGTGTCTGACCCCTGACAGACCCTTATCCTCAAGGGACATGGACAGGCTCCTATCACCTTTCTCCTAGCAGCTGGCAAGCCTCCCATTCCAAGTCATATAGACCACCCAGATCACTCAAGCTTCCATAAGCTAACAAGTAGCCTGTTTCCACCTGAGGACTACTGTCACCACCCTCCGCCTATTAGACCATCTGCCCTGGCTTAGGGACCTAGTGTGGAATGCTGACTCTGGGGCTGAGCTAGGCCAATCAAGCTTTCTCTCCTTCCGCATTGACCCCCATCTTCCTCTAGACTGCCTGGGAACCTGAGTTTTATGTTATACCCCCTCAAGGTGAAGAGTAGGGGAAAGGTCTAAGGAGGATGCTTACCTATTCCAGGCAGAGTGAAGTTGAACCTCTGGGAGGTAGGCAAGGAAATATGCCTTACCACACACTGGTAGACGGTCATGTTGTGGTCCAGAGAGGGCTTCAGCCTCAAACGGCTAGTGACATTAAATGTGCCATCTTTATTCTTGACGATTGGACCAGTGGTGATGCCCTCAGAAATCTCCAGGTACTGGGGATCCTCCTGGGTCCACTTATTCCATGTTATGTTTATGTCCTTCGGGTAGAACCCACTTGACTTACACAAAATATATTTGTCTTCATTATCTTTCACTGTGGCTGGATCCTGAAACAAGACGCTGACTGGAGAAGCTGCCAGGAGAGAGAAGTCATGCTTTGAGAGTAGGTCAGGACTCGCTTACTATCAGTTCAATGTCTGAACCACAGCAAGCCTTCAGGAAAGGTGAGTGAACGTACTGGGGGTTCTGTTTAGGCTAAGTATTCTGGGTATGTTGGCCCCAGTGCCAGCAGAGTGCTGATATGCCATGACCCCAACTCTCACAGCCATTTTGTAAAGCAGTTTCTTAAGCCACTTTGTGTCAAAAGACACCTTTGAGAATCTGAGAGATGCCTTGGAACACTGTTGTGGTAAAGGCTGCTAATTGTTGCCCATTTCCGTTCTTCGATGACACATTCAAAGCTACATCTCTCAATCTCTATTGCAGCTGAGAGTAGCCATGTGAACTCAGGGTCTAGTAGTTTGGAGCAACCTCCAGGAAGTATCCTCAAAGAACAGGACTTCTTTAAGTATCTTAAAGAAAAGGACTGTAGCCTTCTCTCCATTTAATATTTAAAGCAGGAAGAGAGGGTTGTAAAATATATAAAGACAGGTGTTGAAAGAAAATAATCCATCAATCTAGAATACTATATCCAGAAAAATTCCCCTTCAAAAGTAAAGTATAAATACTTTCTCAGACAAGCAAAAACTAAGGCAATCTGTTGCCAGTAGACCTGCATGGCAAGATCTCAAAAGAAATTCTTCAGCGAGAAGGAAAATGATACAGGTCAGAAACTAGAATCTATGTAAAGAAAGAGAGTGTCAGAGAAGAAATAAATGAAGGTAAAATAAAACATTATATTTCTTATGCTTAATAGACCTAATAGATAATTGTTGATTCAAAATAATAATAGCAACCATGTATTGGGTGGTTAAGCATATGGATATATAAAATGAATGACAGTAATGTTATAAGAGATCGGAGGGGAGTATTGGGAATATTCTGTTATAAAGTATCTGTACTACCCATGAAGCAGTACAGTGTTATTTCAAAGTAGATTTTGATTAGTTGTAAAAGTACATTGCAAACTCTAGGGCAACCCCCCCCCCCAAAAAAAATTTTAAGAAGTATAATTGATATATGAAGAGAGGAGAGAAAATGGAATAATACGAAATGTTCATTTAAACCTAGAGAGGACACAATGATATATATTTGTGTGTGTGTATATGTATATGTATATATATATATATATATACATACACCTTACTGCTAAATTGTACACCTGAAACTTACTGGATTTTGTTAACCAATGTCACCATAATAAAAAATAAAAAATAAATAAATAAATAAACAAACAGACAAACAAACAAAACTAGAGAGGGCATAAAAAGAGGGTAAGAACAAATGTATCAAACAGAAACAAATACAAGCATGGTACATATTAATCCAACTATATATGCAGTCACTTTAAATGAATGGTCCAAGTATATCAACTAAGAGACAGAGACTGTCAGAGTGGATAAAGGAAAAAAACCTCAAATATGTGTTTTCTAAATGAAACCCACTTTACATATGAAGACCCAGACAGATTAAAAGTAAAGGGACTGAGAAAGGTACACCATACTAACACTAATCCAATGAAAGCTGGAGTAGCTCTATAAATTTCAAAATAGCCTTCAGAACAAGCACTATGCTAAGCATTTTACCTGCATTTTTTA